CCTGCACTGTTGCAGAACTGGGCTAAAATAAACACACACTTATTAATCTCATTTTGTGGGCATACATGTAAATGTTGCATGTACGTAGGGAGTAATTGTAAGCGAGGAAACACACATAAAAAAAAAAAAAAAACTACACAACATATGTAAATATAAACATACCATACACACCAACACGCGCATGCGAGACGTCCGTCGCCTATGCAAAAAAAAGCAGCAGAAACGAATTGGATTTTGCGAAGAATTAGTTTACGATGAAAAATAAATTCAGATTTAATTTTGCATGAACATGTTTATTTTATTCTTTCTACTACTCGCAATTTTTTTTTTCTCTCTCTGTCTCTTATGGCACGTTTACCTCCTATGTGGGACATGTATGTATGTTGTATACCTATGCATGGGTAATTAATCCATCATTCGATACGCACATGTTTTACTTATACTTTTTTCATTCTTGTGGGTGTACCAGCAGGAATATTATAGGCATAGAAGTTTACACATAAATGAATTGGTACATATATATGTACGCACAATTGGATAAACTGTTAATTGCGTATGAACAACGCACATTATGCATATAACTTCTTTTTTTTATATACTTATAAAAATGCGTGTAATGGTATAACGGCATACTTTTCTCCACTCCCGCCTACAATTACGGAGTTACAATTTTGTCCCAAATGAACTGCGTAATATGTAAATGAACCTCAGACACTTTTTTGTAAGAAAAAAAAAACACTACACTACAACGACATCGAAGCATACGCATTATGTAGGCACATATACATGGACAGCATGTTAACTCTCACGCAGGCACAGTAACATGCATATGGAGCAAATAACAAATGGACACGCACGTTGTACTGCCCATGTGCGTATGTTTGCAATAAGGTAGATACGGTCTATTTGTTTTCATATAACCTTATTTTCCTTCCTATTCTTTTCTCCCCAACAATTTTTTTTTTTTTTTCCCTTTTAAATGGTTATTATATTAGCTTTTTCGC